CAACTCTCCACATCCTCATTTAATTTACATGGAGTAAAGTGAGATTACTCTCTTAAAGCTCAGGCTTTGAGGTTAATAGTGTATTCCCTGGGGTAAATTCAGTCCAGTCACTGTCAGTGTCATCTCTGTTTTAACAACAGACTTTGAGGTTTTGTCTTGTTGAGTATGTATTCATATATCCTGAGATTTTCTTGAAAGGGAGCTTGAATTCAGCTAGCAGATTTAAATTGGCATCTACTCTGATGCCAAGAAAATATGTGTCTCTTCCTTTCAAGACAGGGGAGCTGAATATTACTGAAATGACTCTTTAGAGACATGCACAAGTTTGGATGTTAATCAGTTAACTCAGTACCTAAAACTTCCTCTCAAATTGATTGAGTTAGCATGTTTCCAAACTTAAATAATTAATTTGTTTTATGCCTTGCTTATTAACCAGCTCTGCTCCATTGTGGCCTGCTATAATCTTCAGTAAGTGAAACAAAATTGGAGGATGAAGAAAACTGGGAAGAAAAATAATGATGAGAGCTGTCTGTTCTCTGTTAGCACAGGGAGTTGATGAACCATCCATAGCTGTTTAAATAGACAATGTCAATAGGAAGATTGGCTCTGGTGCCTGTGTATCATTTACTGGTAGAAAGTAAATCTTCACTATTGCTTGCAATGCAATACCTTAGGTGAAGTGCTATATCATAATGGGGAATTAGAGTCAAGCTATGAAAAGCCTTGTTGCCCGCAACTAATCTGAAGGATGACAGTATTTTGAAAAATGGATAAAGGCTACCTGAGCAGGGGGGAGAAACTGCATTATCAGAGAAGACGCAGCATATTTTCCCATCAACAACAGAAAATATATCTCACAGTATTCAACATATTGGCTGCTGTAATCATATTCAGTACAGCATGTGATTGTTTTATGCCTTTGATTTACTGTTATCTCTAATTAGCGGCAATTCTGTCTTTCTGAACATTAAATGAGTTTGGTTTATGAATTCTAATTGTAAAAGTCTCTCAAATTAACAGAATGGAAAAAAATACATTCATAATTAACAATTTTTTTTTTTTTTTTAGATTACAATAAGCTATTACAGGGAACAGAACAAATGTGTACAGAAAAATGATTAAATTGTGCAGAGTTCTTCATGTTGTACCACGTTTCCCTGGCTTCCTCATCTTGGCTAGAGACATTTCTGGGTTTTTTCAACCCCAGAGCCTTCCTTTTCTTTGCAGCCACAGTCATTTGGTTTTAATGGAGACACTTCCTGAGCCTCAACCACCCAGTCAGGGGAAGAATATGAGCACACTGACTCAGGCTGTAGATCATAATTTTCAAAGGCTAGAGTGACTGGAAGATTTTCCGCCACTTAATATAGCAATGAGTGTAATCTTCCAGAAGAAATTTCACTCTCCCACAGCCTTGTCTTGAATCTTCCGTCAAAGGAAATGGGCTTATATATTGCTAAAATATCTTGAGCAGCTTTTGACACTTCAAAGCATCAGTGTGCTCAGCACAACATGGACTAGCTAACACTTCCAAAGCGACTGTACACTGAGGATCACACTGCTTTAGAGACAGACAAAATTCTTCCAAAACAGATGTCAAAACTGACACGGCAACCGATCTCTCAGGCAGTTCTGCTGTGTGCTCTGCCTGTCGCCTTTCTTAAACCTGCCACAGGGCAACCATCAGCATACTTGCCATTCAATACATGTATTTGCAGCTCTTTCATGTTATATTAAAAAACTACCTCTGTGAAGCCAAAAGGACATGTGAATGTAATTTCTTTTCCCACAAAACATTTGCTGTGTTCTTCAAAAGGTTAACCCACCTTACTAAACTGTACAAACATTATTTCATTTTTATTGACACTCTTTTCAGACCATGAAATGACTTGAGGTTTAATCTATTTATTCTTTTTTTTTTTTTTATATACTGGAAGAAACAGACTAATTTAATAAGCTCCACACACGGAGATATTTCAAAACCATGTTTTCTAAAGCTTTCTTGAAGTTGCAAGAAGGTAAAGGAAAATGGCATGTCACAAAGAAGAGGTTATTGTTAAGATAAATATAGTTATATTTACAGGGCTGATATTAAATTTTATTTTTTTTTAGTCCTAGATATGTCTAGAGACTGTTGCGCTGCTTTAACGCAGGAAATGCTCCACGCTCCTTGCATTGTGAATAGTGGGGTTATATTGTACAGTTGCCTTTTCCTAGGAAAAAATAAAATTGCTATTAAAAAAGAAAAAAAGAATATTTCAAAAGGATTATTTCATCTCAGCACAAAATTCTTTTTGCAAATGCTCTTCACTTCTGATGGTGTGAGAAAGCAGCATGTGGAATACTTAGCAAGGCTGGCTGCTCACTGGGGTGGCAGCAAGTGTTGTAACCTCCAGTCTGGTGCTACATAAATGTAAGTGTAGGTAGCAATTTGGTCACTTCATTTTGCCATATGATTTCCAGAACCAATTTTCGATAACTGTCCTTTGGGGGGGGTGGGCGGGCGGGGTGGTGTGGAGTAAAGGGTCCCAACGCAGCCAGCATCTCTGTGGGCTTAACTACAAAAGCTGATAAACCACTGTGTCATAGAATGGTTAGGGTTGGAAAGGACCTTAAGATCATTTAGGTCCAACTCTCATTATTGTGAGCAGCATCCTCAGCCAAATGAGCAGGATGGTGGAGCGGGGCTAGGGGCCAGGTACACAGCAAACTCTGGTGTTCAGTGGCTGTGAGTCCCATGAGATTTCATCCGAAAGGCTGTGTCCACTCAGGAGAATGTGACATCCACCCAATGCAGCCTCTCAGCAGCCATCCTTGTGCCAAAGCAGAACAGTGGGCTGGGTCCTTCTCTTATAGGAGACTGAATCTGTGGGGCACCACCCTAGGTCATGGTGCTCCTATTAAATACTCCAAACTCTGAAACAACAGAAATATAGCAGAAGTGTGGAGCATTGGGAATATGGTATGTCATGATTTAAACCCTAGCCAGACAGCTTGTTCACTCACTCCCAGTGAGTGGCGCTGGGCTGAGAGCAATCGAGCTCCCCCCCGGGCTCTCCCCTTCCCCGCTCCCATGAGGGATGGGGAGGAGGATCGAACGAGTGCAACTCCCACGGGTTGAGACAAGAACAGTCCAGCAACCAATGTACAACACAAATCACCACCACCACCACCGACAGCAGTGATAAGAGAAAATAACAAGGGAAGAGAATACAATACCACCGGCCAAGAAACGAGTCCCACCATGAAACCCATGTCCGTCCGGGTAACTCCCAGTTACCCCCACCCCGGGCATGACGTGCTGTGGCATGGAGTACCTCTTTGGCTAGCCTGGGTCAGGCACCCTGTCTCTGCTTCCTCCTGGCTTCCCCTCCTCCCTGGCAGAGCATGAGCCTCACAAAGTCCTTGGTCAGGGTAAACATCACTTAGCAACAACCGAAAACATCGGCTTCACCAACACTGTTCCCAAGCTGGAAGTCAAAACACAGCACTGCACCAGCTACCAAGAAGGAGAAAAATGACTGCTACTGCTGAACCCAGGACATAGTGATAGCAAATGTTCTCTACTGATGATTCCACCCAGTATTTTCTGGTGAGAGGGCAACTCGGGGATGCCATGTCACAAATTCTGCTTCCAAATTCAGCAATGTATTTTAAAATCCATTTAAGTAATACTGCTTTCTTCTGTGGAAATGGATTTGACTATGTCTGTAGTATCTTGGGTTTCATAGTTTGCAAAATTGCTTCACATAGCAAAATATAAAAGAACTCATACAGATTATGTAGGCTATATAGGTTAGGAAAATAATGGGACACAGCATTATCTAATTTTTGCTTGATACTTAAAAGGAAAAAAGTATAAGTAGTTCAGACTACTCCACTGTGAGTCTATAGAGAATCCAACTTGTAAAAATGTGTTGAAAAATCTCTTGAACATCAGGCTGCTCAGACTGATCAGAATAATAACTTCAATCTATATAAAAAACCCTTGTAAGCACAACAAAGGAAACAAGGATTTTGTCAGTGCTGAAACTTACAACCCCTTTGTTTTTGACTCCCACCTTTTAGCTGAGCACTTGGGCATTACTAATCCTCAAAATGACAACACCAAACAATCTTTATGGTAAAAGGACAGACTGCCAGGATTGCTGCCTATCAAAGTCTGTACCAAAGTGATGAGCACCGGTAAGACCACAACCTGAGTGCTGAGTCCATTTCTGGGCTCCCCAGTACAAGAGAGAGATGGACATACTGGAGAGAGTCCAGTGACGGACTACAAAGGTGGTGAAGGGAATGGAGCATCTCTCTTGTGAGAAAAGGTGGAGAGAGCTGGGACTGGTCAGCCTGGAGAAGAGATGGTCTTATCAATGTGTACAAATACCTGTGAGGAGGGTGCAAAGAGGAGAGAGACAGGCTCTTTTCAGTGGTGCTTGGTGACATGACAAGAGGCAATGGGCACACACACTGAAACACAGTTTCAAGAAACACTTGTCTACTGAGAGAGTGACCAAGCATTGGCACAGGTTGCCCAATGCAGTTGTGGAGTTTCCAACCTGGGAGATATCCAAAAGCCATGGACATGGCTGGCAGATGTCTTCAGGTGTCCCTGCTTGAGCTGCAAGGTTGGACCAGAAGTCCTCCGGAGGTCATACCCAAAGTTTCTAGGCTGGTCTTGTTTTGTTTCTGTGCAATTTTTTACATGCTGCTTAAATTTTATATTAAAATGCAATGACTATTGAAGTACCAGTTGTAAAACTCAAACGCCAGCTCAGCATTCAGCCTGGGTCTACAAACAGGCAAATTCATGTGTTTCAGTCAGCATAGCTTTAATTGACTCATATTGCAAATACAAATGAAATAAGAGACAAAAAGAAACAAGGCAAGAGCCCATTTTTTTGCATCTATTTACTTTGTTGATTTGTGGTACTTAATTAAAATCCATAGCTTCAAATGTCATGACAGATCAAGTAAAATATATATTTCACAATGGTATTTGTTACGTGAAATAAGCTTCCTTGCTAATGCCTTGTTAGACCAGTACACAAGATCCACAAGTTCTGCCTTGACAGACAATAAGAAACACCACACATCCCAGGAGAGAAAAGCAGCCCTACATATAGTGCATGCACCAAATGGAATGCTGTGTTAAATATGAGGAAAATAGCTTTTTCTAACAACTAACTACTTTACTGACTTGTTAAATGTTTAGGGCCAGGCTCCTTTAAAAAGGATTGCTATAACTTAAATTCTCATATAAATTTGATATGAAATATTTCTAGAACTGCAAACAAAGCTAAAACTTTCCCATTCAGTTATAAAAAACAAGTTTTGTTGTTTGTTCTTTTTTTTTCTTCAGCATAATAACAAAGTTTTTTCTGCAGCCTTTGACAGATATTTTGTATACTCTTTCTTTTGCAGTTCATTAAGAATTCTGTTTAAAACTTGGTGCATGTATTTTCTGATATCATATTGGTACCCTGTATTTTCTTTATTGGAAATCTTTCATACTCCCAAGTACAGACATTAGACCACACAGTCTTCTTTTCTTCTCTTACTAGTTTAAACCTGTTGTGGATAGATCAGGGTCCATTTTTTCCCAGGGTATCTTCTTAGCGCTTTCTGAATGCCTGACCTATGTGTGAAATGTCAAAAACCCAATGCACTTGGGCATTTTGTGCTCTCTCATTAAACATTTTAATACTCCATAGAAGTAGAAAAAGTTATATTTCTTCCCAAGTGGGACAGCACTGCAAATATATGGAAAAATATACACAAATATGAGAGCATAATGTACTGAAACGTAAAAGCATAATGACAGTTTTAACTCCTCAACTGATGAGTGTTGATAACATTCGGTTATGAGCACATAACTCAGGAGAGGCATATCAGATGGTTGTGGTAATTCCTGTTGTCTTTCCAATTAGATCTAGTGTATTTGCAGTAAGCCACTGTAGCTGGAAGAGCTTTGAGATGGAGAAGAGCTAGCAACACCGAGGCCATATCAAGCAATGAAGAACAGGGGTGGAGAAGAGGAGGTGTCATATAAACTGATTTACAGAAGTCCTTATGAATTTTGGATAACTGAGTATTTCAAAACATTATTTATATTGGATTGCGTGACACAAATCAGGGTAGACCTGTATGATACCAAAACTGAAAACCTTTTTATATTCTGTTCAGTATAAAAAAAAAATAAAAAATTGAACTGTACTAAGATACCCAACATATTTAATGTAGAATTTTATGTTTTTTTTTAAGTAATAAAAAATTAGGACATTTTTCTAAGCCTGAATTTTGAAACTATTACTTTCTAAAATTAAGGGAGAAATAAATATCTAAAATCTCTGTAAAAAAATACCTTTTATGATGCACTGTCTCACTTTTCTACAAAGTAGACAAGCTCTGCATGTCATATTATTTCTACTTTTACTTTTCTTCTTCTAAGGCTTCTTTCATTAGTTCCTGGCACCCAAAGACTAAGCAAAGCTTTCTTAAGTAGCAAATAAAACAATTTAGAGACTTAATGGACTGTCACTTGGAAGGAAAATTATCTAAATACAGGCAGCAATTGGTTTTCACTGTAACCATTCTGCCTTCATCTCTTCCCATTACCCTAACCTTTTGCACTGCAGTGAAAATACATTAACAAGAATGTGAACATGGCTAAAGTGATAATTTATCCTGGAAATATTTGGAGCCATGCAAGGAAAATTTTAATAAAAAGTCCTGTTAAGATAGACAGAAGTAATTTCGTCCCATCCTCCCCTGTTATATTCAACTGAGTCTGAGCAGCAGCCATTCAATTTGCATAGGAGCTTACATTACCAATAAAGAGAAAAAAAATGGTACAAACCACAGTGAGGAATTTGACTTCTTTTTCTGTAAAGGGAATGGCCATTTGTTCTCTACTGGAAACACAGAGTGGTAATATGAGAAATACTCATTTTTTATTGTTGCAAGCAATGCATGAGGACTGGTGAAGAAAATTTCTGTGTTTACCTTTTTTCTTCAGAAATCAAATGAGATGTGTGAAATTTAGCAAGAGAATGTTAAAGCTTCATTGTAAATTCAGTATATTTTTAGAGATGTGCTATCTGCTTTAAATGCTTTCTAATTTGGATCTGAGCAAACAAAATCTGCTAGCTGAGATAAATACCTATGTAGGATGGAGAAGATTTTGGCTGGGATATATGCAATCATCCATATTAAAAACCTTTAATAAAGCATTGAAAATTTTTGCCGTGCCTTACCAACACATAATAAAATACAGTTTTAGGACCCAAGTCTTCACTTAGGTTTCACAGATCAGAATAAAAATGTTCCTCCCTTGGAAAGTTGTGAATTTGGACCCTGAACCTTGCCACTGTGGCCGTCTTTCCAAAAAAAACCTGTGTAGTACAGAAGTCCACAGCAAGAGATGAAGCAGGGTGCTCAGTGCAACATTCAGATAGAGCCAGCGTGGGCATCTCTGCACCTACAGCAAACACATTCCCCAAAGACCTAGAAAGTGATTTGGGTGACTCACATGAATTCCCAGAGCCATCGTTACCCACAGAGTGTCCTCCTCACCTGCCTCTCAAGCAGAGTACAAGATTCCTGCAGGTACCATGTCATGTCTGCCTGGTTTTTGGTACCATCTAAGCATCCACCTGTGCTTAGACAGTTGAATCTTACCCCAAGCTCCCCCAACACTCATAGGAGTAGGTATCTAAATGTCTTCAAATAGCTAGGCTTCAGTCTCTAAACTTTGGTGGTAGCACCAAAATCATTATGCAACACCACACTGCAAATGGTAAGGTTATTCTGGTTATTCAGCTATTTTTAAATCCATGGTAAAAAAAAAAAATCACCAAATTTGCATATTCTTAAGCTAGTTTTGTTAAACTCTAAAGATCCCTTTTTGGCTTTCTGTAACTATTTCTGCTATGTTAAAGACTGTATATTTGCCTACAGAAAGCTTTTTAAAGGTTCATTAGAACACATTGAACACCATGCTCTAACAGTGCTTCCTTTCTCTAGGGTTAGGCAAGCACTAAACATTTCCGGTAGTCCTATCATGCCACTGCAGGAGGATGGCTTCTGTAAGGTTTACAGACTTATATTACACACTGGGGAGAGAAAAAGAGCCATCAACATGTGCTCCCATCCTTTCAACTCAATCTTCTGTGTGATGACCCTCCTTTTCCCTTCTCTTCCTAATACAGCCTGCCCTTCCTGGGCCCCAGTCCATTTTCTAAATCACAGCCCCAGTGGGGTGGAGATCCCCAGGTCCTGGTTTCTGATCTTGGGGTCATTCCTACTCTTCTCTTCTGTGATTGCCCAGGGGAAAACAGCCCTCTAAAAGCAGGACTTACCTGCTCTCAGCTGTGTACCATAGCTGAGAAAAGTGGAGTCAGCTTCCTTAACACCTCCCCTTCTGGTTCAATGAATCTTGCCCTGCTGTGTGTCACCTCATATGCCTCCCTCAGGCACCTAGCCTCTAAGGAGGTCAGAGTCCAGCCTTCACTCTTGTACTAATCCTTTTTTGGGGCTGGCTGAAAGCAGCTCTTTGCTCAGTGAATAGCTTTAAATCATCCCCCTCAGTCCCTGGATTTCATGTGGTCAGCATGTTTCTAGAATGAAGAATTGCAGCATCCCAGTTATAAACACGCAAGGCTTTTATTAACTATGGTTCTAAGAGCCTAATTCCATGGTTTAATCATTAGATAGGTCTTCCTGCTGGAGATCAAAGTCAGTCTTAGGTCAAGTTAACATTGCTTAATAAACATTCCCCCATACCAAAACATGTACTGTCAAAAAGTCAATGATCACCCACCACACTGCTTGCCTTTTGCACCCCTGAAATTAATTGGCTTCAGAAAAAAAAATCATAGTCAAGAAATGTTTTTTCAATTAGCTAAGAAAACCCTCATCTACTGGAAGTTACAAGTCGTCAGTAGGATGTAACAAATAACTGAATGAAACTTGCCTCAGTTGTGAATGAAACTCATTCATCTCAGAAGGCTCTGATGCAGCAACAGCGAGACTATGAGTCTTGTAAAAAGTGCCTTTTCCTTTAAAGATTTTACAGCAGCCTTCCACTATATTTTTTGGGGGAATACCAGAGCTCAGCAGTGGTAACATTTAATGCAAACCCTTCCCTCTATGTGAGTTTGGGTCACATGGAGGTTCTGTGTTTCAGCTACAAGAGCCACACAGAGGCTGAACGTTTCATTTCCTGCAATGTCCAAGTTAAGAATAAAGGACTGCTGCTGTGGAACAGTACGAACGGGAAATCTTCAGCCACCTGATACACAATAAGGAGATTTACAAGAGATATTTGAAGTGACCAAGAACTGTTGGAAAAACTCTGTCCTTACAGAGTTCAGTCTTGGACTCTTGGCAGCCAGTATTCCTCACAATAGGAGGGAGATTTGCCAAGGAATTTTGGATCAGGTCTCTGCACTTATTCTAGGCTTTGAAATGCGTTTTGCAATGCATGGAGGAAAAAATAGGGAGAAATTAAAACTGTGAGTCAGAACCATCCCTAGAAGGTGTAAATTAAAGGGTTAGAAGACATCTCACTTTTAAATATTATTCACATTCAATAGAGAAAAGCAGCCCCTTGATGTTGCACTGACTTTCTGATGTAAAGCTCAGTAATTAAAAGCAGCTATTTTTAAAATTGATGTTTGTTAATCCAAGATGCTGTTATTTTGCATTTTATTCCAGGCAGCACTTTTATAAGTTTTCTCATAAAAAAGTATCCCAAAAGGACCAGTTTATACCAAAAATCCTGTGAATATTTATCCACTGAATTTAAGATGTGGTGAAATTAAGAAGCTTAGGAAAATGCCAGCAAAAGTCCACCAACTTTCTAGCACCACAACAGATGTGATATGAATTGGAAATGAACTGATTTCAGAAGAGAGGCATTGGAAATTGTACATTCCCAGTTGGGCTCCAAAGTGAGAGGGAAAAAAGTTGTGATAGTACCTTGCTGGATCTCTCCCATGGCTTATCATCCTACGGGAGGGAACTTCTGGGCATCCTGTATTGACTGGAAAAATCTCTAGGCCCTAAATTTTTCTCTGATTAGATAAATATAATATAAATAGATATAATAAATATATATAATATATAATATAATATATATAATATAATAGATAAATATAAACGGGCATTAAACTTGATGGAGTTTCTTTGTCACCCAAAGAGAGGAGTGATAGCTATGTATTTCAGATCAGCTGTGGGGAAAAACAGCCTGAATAACATCAGGATATATTAGCTGCAATTAGCTGGGCAGAAAAGATCCTGGAATTAAAAGTTAAAGATGGGTAATGTAAGATTTTGAGTGTCCTGTTATAGGACTTTAAAAGAAGACTTGATCCTTCCTGCTGATAATAATTTTTCAACTTATTTGTTTAGTCTCAATTTAATTTTTGTCTGCTTTACCCCACTTATTTGTTCTGTGCTCTTCTACTCTATTCTTCTTCCTGTAGAACTGAGCTCTAATATTTTTTAAACATTCCTCTACTAGAAAGAAGGATGAAAATGAGAGTATGTCTTTAATTCTAGTAATATTCAAGTCATCAGGTACCTATTTAATTGGTCTTGCTCAAAAGTTCACAGTTGCCTACCTCTAGATCTGGAGTGTGAAGAAAATTTCCACCTCCTCTGAATATATCAACAAAGGGGTGCTGGAGATGTGTTTTCATGGAGCGTGGAGCATACTCTAGTTTGTAACTAAAGCTTTTAGGACAGTAACAAATTTCCTTCTATGGAATGGATCTAAGGTACATACATGACCCTCAACTTTTCTTGGTACCATAGCCGTATTTGCAGGTTTTTTATTCCTGAGTTTGTTACTGACTGCTGAGAAGTTCTGGAGTGTGAGACATCAAGGGCTGCATTGCACTCCCTGAACCTGAAACTAGAGACTGCCTAAAATGGCGTGTGACAGCCTCTAAGAACAGGTCCCTGAGCTCCATTTAATTTGCCAATGCTGAATCCAGAGTTGTATGTCTTGTAAATTCAGTTTCCTGGGGAGAAACATCTGTGACCAGAGGATGGAACTTAAGTGACATTACTCTGCAAGTATGTTTGCCAAATGAAACATCAGTCTGGGAGCATCATTACATTTGGTCTGAGAACTTCAGTAGGCAAGCAGGACTTAATCCAGATAAATTTATTATAGTTTGAATATTTCAATTCTTGTGAGTTTGTATTGTATCAATCTTTGATAAATACCTTAACTCATTTGTCAATAAAAATGAAGGAAGTGTAAGTTCAGAAGCATGTCAACACCTTCTGTTTTGTCACCAACTGTGATAAGGTTAACCTTGAATATTTTTGAATTTATTTGGTAAAGAAGAAAAAATGACATCTGTTTTGTAACCTCACATCTTCCTACGCTTTCTGACAGCATGCAGTGTTTTCACTGAACTGAGATTTGCTCATGAAAGCTGAGCTAATCAGAGGTGGCTATCCAAAGTTCAGTCAATAAATAGCTTGGCTTTCTAGCTTGCAACAATATAAAGGGAGATCAATAAGAACTATGAAGATTATTTCTCCATTTCCTTCTGCTTCATGTTCAGCTAGCCATGAAGCACAGACTGCTTCCTTTCTATCAGTTTTTGTCCTTAGCTATAATGCTGCACCTGTACAGTGGACAGAGAGAAAAGTTTGTGAATACTATTCTCTGAATATTTGCATTTGAGTAATGCATTCCTAAACAATACTTATTTATAGCTTTTGCATATTTACTATCAAATCAAAATGTTTAATAAAAAATTATGTAACTTCAGTCCTTAGGACATCCATGTATTTTTTCTTAACTGTTCTTATAGAACTGTCTTTTCTTCTGAAAACAAGTGTATAGTTTCTACCTTAACAACATACAGCACAGCTTCAGTAAAGTCAGCCCAGATGGAGCTTGCGAAACATACATTATGCCAGATTATTTTCAGGAGAAAGGTTTAGTAAATGGCTGTACTGAGACTGTGAATAAGCGTCCAGTTTGAATTGAACATGAATGTTAAGATTAAGCACTGACCAATATGAAGTGAAAACTATTTCTGAGGCAGAACAGACAGAAAAGCCAGTAAAAAGAGTTACATATTTAATACAGCCTCTATAGAGAAAAGGCAAGGAGAAGGATCCAAGAGAACCAAGTCAGGTTTAAGTGTTTACATACAGGCTAAGTATCATCAATCCCACTGTCTATTGATGTTGGGATTTTTTAAGCACTGATTTAGGTCAGTGTATACTTCAAATCTGTATCTCATCTGCAATTAGGGTTATTTGTGACCAGACATTTATGCCACTTCAAACAGAGGACTGAGATACAGACCAGAATCTGGAAGAAAACAAGGAGTTAAAGGTATTTTAATTGTCAGGATGGCTCGAATTCCAGGAAAGAGTCTAGGGATATGAGCCAAAATAATCTTGGAACAATTCTCTTTGAATATTCATTGAGGACAAAGAAGGTCTGAGAACAGGAAAAGTTCAGAAAGTATATCTGAAAATGAAATCAAAAAAAAAAAACCAGAAAGCTTAACTTCAATACCCATGAAGAAAATGTCAAGAGCATCAAGAAATGGTGGGGGTGTTTTGGTCTTGATTATCTGCCCTTAGTGCTGATGAATTCTGTCACTGCAGCTAAACTTGACATTAGCTAAAACTCTGGGGTAGTAGGTAATGTAGTGTCACAATCCAACATTTCTGTAAACAACTTCTATCTCAGAGTACGAACAAATACCAATTTGGAGCACTCTGAAAAGAGCATCACAAACTCCACTTTTGAGCACCAGGGGTACTGGCTGAAATCTGAAAAGTTAATTTCAATGCATGAAACTGCAGAGCAATGGGTTATGAAAGAAACAGATAACGAACACAGAGTAGGAGCCATGCAGCTGAACAGCACTACTGCAAAAGCCTAAGTAGCTGATATGAACTGCACACATGCAGATGTTGTAGTGCTATTTCAATAAAAGCAAACTGAATTTTTGTATGTTGTAACCTGAGCATCATACCTAAGGCATAGGAAGCAGGGGGTTTTATTTCACCTCCTGTGGTGCCTAGAGTCAGCAGCTGGGGCCCAATGTCCAGTTCTGGATACCACAAGGTGCAGACAGAATAATGAGGGGAAAAAAACCCAAAACCCAGGGTGAATCAGTTTAAAAGGCCTGAAGTGGAAAGGATGAAGATACTAAACCTAGCTGAGAAATATGAGAGAGAAAAGACTATCCAAGCATGTAAAAGTTTTGCTATAAAGATGATAATCAGCAAATGGTCTGCATGCTTTTTGGGAGTATGACAAGAAATAGTCAGCCTTGGTGTTCAGCATACACTTAAAACAGATATTAAGAAACCAAAACCAAATCTGGATTTGGTCAGCGGAGGTTTGACATTTTCCAAGGATGGAAGCTGCTCAGCCTCTCTGGACAGCTTGTTCCAGACCTTAATCACTGGGATTTGCCCATGCTGCAGCATGGCCTCCTGCCCTGTCATTGTGTACTGATAAGTCTATCCCCATTGCCTCTGTAATCACCCCCACACATAGCTGTAGAGAGCAATTTAATCTTTTTTTCCCTTTGCTTTTTAAGGCTAAAAAAGCCAGTTCCTTTTCCTCTCCTTTTTTGTGTCTTGTGACATG